GTAGGTGTTATTCTTAAAATAGTAGGATCTATAGTATATTTTATAATTACTAATTCTACCATATATTCGGTTTTTATTTTTTATACTATTTATAAATAATCTTTGGTTTTCTTGATTTTTTTTCTTCTTGTCTTCTCGACAATTAATTATATTAATCTTTATCTTATTCATGTTTATTGTATCCTGCCATATTAATAATAATGATTAATAAATTTTTTAATGATTAATAAATACTAGTTATTCTATATATAATTTATGATCGTTTTAATTAATTAATTATTTTTAATTTTATTATAGCTTTTTAAGCTATATTTTATCTTCAAATCTAAAAATAGCCTAAACCAATAATCAATAAGAAATTTAGAAAAGTATTATGACAAAGTTAGTTAGCTAGAGCTGTTATTCCTACTATTCAGTCAGACTAAGAATCAGACGCCAGCCCGCTCCTTGACACGCCTTTTTAAATTAGATATACTAAAGCTTTTAGAACTGAAAAGGCCTCTACAACTGGGAATCTCCCAGCCTATCTCCCAGCCTGCGAATGACCTCTAATCAATTATATCAATCTTTGACATATCCACGTTTATTGTATTATACCATGTTCATCTACTAAAAACTTTGAAGTTCCTATTACCTATTATAATCTCTAATATAGAATTCTTGCTGTAGAGACTCGTATATACTAAATATATGAATCTGGGTGCAATTAACTTTTAACTTGTATTGCTAGTTATTTACTATCTCCCAGTATAGTCAGCAGCGGGCAGATTTCACCCTGATATGTGATAATACATAGTTCTGGACTTGCTTGGTTTCGTAATGCCTTGCTATTATACAAGAAGTAAATTAATCAAGACAAGACTACTGGACTAGGGTTCTTGATTATGCTATTTGTACTTACTATATACAAGATAATGCTTATGTCTATAATGCTTATTATTGTTAAGAGGTACACACAGTGACTTTCAACAGCCTAAGATCCTTATAATTAGATCTTTAGATAGGACAGTTGATAGATACTGGTCAATCATGTATATATTCAGTAGTCAAAAATCTATTAATTGAACCTATTCTTTGATGTGTAGAGAAGTAAAAGTCTGCGTGCCATGTTCGTGCCACCCAAATGACTGGCTCTAGCTTAATAGTGGATATATTCAGCTTTGATGTTCTACCACCAGGATCCATAAAGGATCCATAGTCCATGCAGTAAACACCAAGGTAGCCCTCAACTATAGCCAGGCTCTCAGTAGATCCCCTTAAGCAGTTGCTATTGGTACTCAGTATGTCCTATACCACTTACGTTGGGTGATATGTATAGACATGGTATCAAGGGTCCTACAACTTACTGTGATACTTACTAGTTGTTGACCCAAGCCCCGGAAAAACATGGTAGAAGAAGACGATAGTACAAGACAGCCCCTCAATAAAGAACCTCAATAGAGAGGCATTGTTCAATAAAACTACATATCCTAATATTCGTGTCAAGCGGGTTTTAAGCAGCTGTTAAATGATACCTGACTGTATGTGAAGTCTTCATTATTAGCTTGCCGCATAACGCCTAGCATAGTGGGATCAAAGAGAATAAGATGGTCAATACTGCTTTCCTTTCAATACTTGGCCTTTCTAGGCCTTCTTATGTTGAACCAAGGATTTATTTGTGTTTGGCCACAGTAACTACTTTGATACTCCCATATTTACAGGCTCCCCGACTGCATCATAATTAGCACAAAAATGATTGGACATCATTTCTGATGGGCTGAAGCAGTGCAATCTGGAGGTGATACGTCATTCAACCACCATGCCACCTCCAAATGAGATGGTAACGTCACCTTGACGAAGATGCAATGCGCTAAACTGAACTTTTTCCTCTTACATAAGTCATCAAATTTAGTCGCAAGCGGTAATGAGTTGTAGATAAAACTCTCACCTTTGCGGAGTTGTTGATCTTCCAGTTAAAGCATCTAGCGGCCGTGCCTATCTAAGCGCCTTCAATATGCAAGAATACACCGAGAAATCATCGCGGGGAAGCCCTTCCCAGTTCAAGCCCGGTAGACGCTATTGCAACCATTGTTTCCGGCGGGAAGCTGACTTATACCGCAGGTCATGAGATACCCATTCAACATCAAAAAAAGCCAGGCTCGCAGGCCGATCTCGAACAACCGAAACCAGCGTCCAGCCACATACCCAATGAGGATGGAGGTTACCAGAGCTACAAAGCAGCAGGGAAGTTGATTGGCAAACGCGCTATAATCACCGGCGGCGACTCAGGAATCGGACGTGCCATAGCCATTTTGTTTGCGATGGAAGGAGCGACAAGCCTGATAGTCTATTTACCCGAAGAGGAAAAAGACGCACAAGAAACAAAAACAAGGGTGCAAGAAGCTGGACAAGAATGTCACTGCATGGCCACCGATCTTCGCGAAAGGGAGAACTGCCGCAAGGTGATCAATACCGCACTAGAAAAACTAGGTGGCATAGACATCCTAGTGAACAACGCCGGGACACAGAATATGATCGAGGACCTCAAGGATTTAGAAGAGTAAGTAAGCTCTTAATCCGATGACGCTCTCCATGCTCTGCCCGTAAGGTCCGGATTCCCATGGTTCTCCCAACGGCAGTATAAGAGGAGCCGTCAGATTTCGTATTCAGTACGTCGCTGTTAGCTGACAAGAGCACAATAGGAGCCAGTGGGTAAATACATTTGATACCAACATCCATCCCTTCTACTACCTTAGCAGATACGCCCTCCCCTACTTGAAGCGCGGCTCAACCATAATCAATTGCGCATCTGTCAATGCTTACATCGGCCGGCCTGATCTTCTCGACTATACATCGACAAAGGGAGCCATTGTTGCCTTCACGCGAGGTCTATCTAATCAGCAACTCAAGAATGGCATTCGTGTTAATTGCGTTTGTCCAGGGCCAGGTAAGGTTTGACCGGAGAGACTTAACTTACGCGAACAGGATGTGAACTAATATGGATATACTTAGTTTGGACCCCGCTTATCCCTGCCACCATGACGACCACTGCGATGGAGCAATTCAGCTCTGTACCGATGGGTCGCCCAGGGCAGCCCAGTGAAATAGCTACTTGTTTTGTTTTCCTCGCAAGTGCGGATAGTAGCTATATTTCGGGACAGTGCTTGCATCCTAATGGGGGCGTGGTTGTGAACGGCTGACTCATATATCGATGGGAGAGCAAGCACTTAGCAAAGCACACACAACATAAATCAGATTTTACATGAGTGCTATGTAACTAAGAAAGAGTAAATAGACTGTTATTTGCAAGACTGCGCGAATGACGAGTAGTTCATAAACACCTATTTATGGGGAGAAGAACGCTGGTGTGTTAGATCCTGCTGCCACTAAAACTTACCCAGTATAGTGCACGACTTGAAATCGCGGAACTAACGACGGTACCACATGCGCGTGATCCTGGTGTGCCTCATCTTCTTTTGGAGTTGAAAAATTCCGTACATCAGTGCCTCGGATGTAGGCGGACCTATAGTTTTTGGAAGTTAGTGAATGACACCATAATAAGGTGGGCAAGGCAAAACGAACATCCAGGGACATAAACATCCACAGGGACAATTCTGTCGCACCCACGAACGACAGAGTAGCTATAGTGGTAATATCCTCCACCGTTCGCACAACTTCCCATACTGATAACCCATCTCGGATCAGGCATTTGATCGTAAACCTGTCTAAGAGCGGGTGCCATCTTATTTGTCAAGGTACCGGCAACAATCATTACATCAGATTGTCGAGGAGAGGCTCTGAAAATGATTCCCAGGCGATCTTGATCGTATCTTGGTGTCGAAAGATGCATCATCTCCACGGCGCAGCAAGCAAGCCCAAACGTCATGGGCCAAAGTGAGCTCTGTCGTGCCCAATTGGCAACTTGATCAAGAGTGGTCCTGTAGAATGTTATTTAATAGCCCATACATGGCAAGATAGCTGATATACGGACAGCACATATTGCATCGCACCCTCCTTTTTCTCCTGACTGGGCAATGGTACCTCCTTTCGTACCTTGCCAGAAGCAGTGAGATGTTGACCAGGCTGCCCTTGCCGTTCGAGAGCTGTCGCCGATTTGATAGCTGATGTTGAAAGACGTGACATATTCTGCGGTCGGAAGAAACGTGACGCCGGCAGCGGTCGCGCTGCCTGATTGTCAATTGGTGGCCAGTTAAAGATCGACTAGAGAGAGACCTACCATGCAAAGCGCCTGAGACAGCGCGCCCGGTGAGAGGAAGCATAGTGATCAAGACCTCGTGGTGTGCTTGTAAAAGTTTCCGGAATCCCTGGATGGATTGTGCACGCAGCAACTCTGAGAGTAAGGTAGGTGTAAGTACACCTTCGAGAATCAATCACAGTGGCGACTGAAGTAACGTCAAGGCGAAAGAGTCAGTTTGGATGGTTGTTCTGCGCTGATGGTACCAATGGATTACCCATTAGCTGTATTACTGTAATGATACATTCATCAGTGGAAATATGATAGAGCCACTAACGTAACCAGAGATGTAATAAAGAGTAATTTGTACAGAGGCAAACCTTGGCAGTATCACGTGATAGCATAAGGTTAATTCAGGGTTAATTCATTGGCCGAGCTGCTATTACATAAATTGGTACCTAGACGGTGGCATCAGGGTTCAAGTACAGTTCTTGATGCCGATTTCATCGGGTGACTTATCATCTACCAGATTCTACGTAGTTCACCATCCAAGTCAACTCTCGCCATTCAAGGCCATCTTTTGTGATCAGGCTGATTGAGAGGAGGTGAGAGCTACTTCGACCTCATCACCTGACTTAGGTATGTTCATATCTTTGTGACGATACGGTCGAGCCTGTACTAAGGTAGGGGTCTGTTTCGCCGTGCACTTATGAACAGCTAGGGACTTTAAAATCCACTCCGTCTGAGTTCTTGTCATACTTGAAGGTCTTTGAACTCGATTCAAACAAGAACACTTGGGATGCGAAAGTGAAAAGTGATCGCTATGATGCCTAAGATCGCCTGTATCGGTGTAATCGGTAAAGCCGTATGTATGTCATTGCACCTGGAGCAGCTCTGATACTAATGCTGCCTAGGACAACCCAATACATATAGCATTGTTCCCTCCATATCGCAACTCGGCTATCGAGTTCTCCTTCCTAGTGAACTCCTGCTTGGATATCGTTGAGATAAGGCGCAGACAAACGTCCATTGACCAGGATCTCGGCCTTTTGCACGCCGTGGACGAAAGCTTGGCGGCGTACGGATGGCTCACCACGACAGGAGTGAAGCTGCTAGTTATAGTTGATCTAGTCGGCGAAATAATTAACCCAGAGGGGCTCGGGGCATCATCTAGGACTATTGTCAAGGTGCCTGACCTTAGGCCGGTATGTTATGCATCAGTAGCGCGATCACTCAGCCAGCAATTGATACACCACTGACGACTCAGTGCTATAGGTCTTCCGTTCTCTGCAGGACGCTTATGTTCAACTATTGCAGAATCCATTCTATACCCCGATTGGGCACTCTGATACCGTCAAGCCTTCTGCTCAGGTGTCTAGCTTTCCGCAGGTCGCAGACAAAAGATTTGTCAGGGAGATTTTACGAATTGGTGAGTCATGGGCACCACTTATGTCTCCACACTAGGAAGGTCCCACAAGATCATGGCAATTGTGATCGTCATCACGGAGTGAGTAGCATAGTTCAACAAATATTTGATCTCGGATAGTGCCGCTGAGTCGTGGTGAGAGCAAAGGCGGACTTGAAACCAAAGTTCCCTAGCATCTGCATGCTACTAGAATGTCCATTTGAGATATTCTCATCATAGAATACCGAAGGCCTCGTTCTAACCACGCCCAGATCTAGCCTATTATCAATTTATTGCTCTCTATCGGAGGGAAAGGGAGATTGGCTGTACATGGCTCAAGGTTAAGATCCACAGCAATATATCTACGCCATGACAAGTGTAAGAACTTAGTACTCGGGATCGGTACCCGATTTTTCCAAATTACTTAGAATATCCTCCAGCTCCCGAGGATCGCATATGGACCAGACACCACCACCCTTGACCATGATCTTGCCAACTTCCTTACCAACCAAGTTTCTGCCAACCTTCCCTGGCCCTATTCCAATCCAACGAGTCACACCGTGATCCTGATCTAGATATCGAATGCTATCCCACCACCTAACGGTTTCAACGCATTGCCGAGAGAGCAGAGCCTTCAACTCCGCTATTGAACTAGTCGGCAGACCTGAAACATTTGATACGAATTGCATATGTGTGGGAAATCTGATGTTAATATTCTCCAGGGCATATCGCATGTAGTCAGCAGCTGGTGCCATGATAGGGTTGTGGAACGGACTCTCGCATTTTAGTTTCACCGCGCGAGGATCGTGGCCTCCAAATTGACGGAGCTGGACTATCAGAGTCCTGATTTTTGCAATACTGCCGCTAAGTACGATTTGGTTATTAGAGTTTATATTTGCAATCATGACATCCTGGAATGCTGAAGCCCCGTGATCAGTGTCGTCTTTCAATGCTGGCTTCGCGAGTCCAAGAAACTCGTGGATGGCTTCCAGCAATTCCAGGAAATGATCAGGCTCGCAGACAAGAGCTACCATGCCATATTCATCTCCTGTTGTTTCGAAGGCCTTTCTCGTGCATTGGGACATGATCTCTGCACGCCGTCTGACCAATCTTAGCGCATCCCCAAAATCAAGGTAACCCCCAGCAACCAGAGCAGTGAACTCGCCCAGGCTGTGGCCCAGGGTAACGTCTACTAGCGTATCTGTATTGAAGCCGAACTCGTGTTCTAGTATCCGGAGTATCAACAATGATGTAGCCATGATAGCGGGTTGCGAGTTTTCCGTCTTATTGAGCTCCGAGTTAGGGCCCTGGGATATGAATCGAGACAATGGGAAACCCAAGGTGGAGTCCACCTCGCTCATGACTTTGTTGGATATTGTGGGAAACATCTCAAGCCATGGATTTGCCATTCCCATGCGCTGAACCCCATGGCCTGTGAGCAGAAGCGGTTAGAAGCTAAGATATAGTGAAGGGCGAGGGCACCCAAACCGGGGAAGAAAAGGGCTGTGCGTAGTGGTGTTTTGGCAGGAGATATAACGGAGCATCGACTTCGCGGATATCTGTGGAGCTGCATATAGCGGTGGCCATGGCACCCTCTGTGCGGCTTCGGTATCAAAAGGGAGGTGGGCATAGTTTCTAGTGACTCGTGAATCTAGCAGCCAGTAGTGCTCGTGCAGTTGCATGTCGCGGTAAATGAATGGGCATCATGACCTTGTGCCAGGAGGCTAGGTGAAATTCTTGGCGTGGAGTGCAGGAGGCCGATACGAACAGCCATAAATGAGGGAGCGAGTGGTATTGTCACGTGATATCTCATGGACAGAAGTGAACGTTGTGGACTAGCACAGCTAATACTGATAAGTTGCTGTCGTGTAGATCGCACATCGGACTGCAAGCAATGGGGAATTGTAGACCTATCTCTGATTACAGTAATTTTCTGCAAACTGGTCTATACAGTGATTCAGCAAGAGAATTATAGTTGCAGGTTATTATGAGCAGAAGACAGGAGAAATGATGTGCCTTCTTCCTGCTTAACAGGGTTACTGTCCATACCAGAAAATACTAGGTACAGAGTATGTTCTTTCCAAAAGGAAGTGAGTATCATCTAACGCAAGATCAAGGAAGGAAGCCTACTATACCTTTGAAATTCGCTGCCTATGTGTACATTATCAGTAGACATATATATACGTCAGGCAATATTTGAAAGAATATAGGCCAAAGAATATGTAGCGATCTACGGCTCCGATGTAGTTTGTGTACGACAATCATATACTACCAGTCATAGTAGTCCTTCATTTAACTCTAGGCAAATGTGAATGGTCGAGTGCGAATCAAAGCTGCCCTAGGCAGAAATCCGGAGCAACTGTGCCTGACCGCCTTCGGGTCGGCAGCACTTAATTGCGCGCAGCCGACACATGTCGAGTGTTGTTATTGACAATCATGAGCGCGGCCACGAGTTCATAGATTCGCGCTTTAGAACCACTATCCTCATATATCTACCTCACAGAACATTGATGATTGAATCACCCTGAAAGCGATTCTATTCGCTCTAACTCCGTATCGAGATTCCACAATGTTCGTACCAAAAGCAGCACTTGGGCCAGCAGCCGCCTTGCGCAATCCCCGAAGACGACAGCGTACGAACTCCGATGAGACCGCGCAACAGCCTAATGCGAAACGTCAGCGCTCTGCTCTACGTCAAGATAGCGTCGAATCATCCGTAGAAATTTCTACCGGAAATCCATCTCGAAAACCATCTCTGGCTGCTGAAAACCTCGATCTTTCAAATATAGGACTCACACCCGCCGACGCGGCGAAGGAAATACCCATCAGAGCCGCCAAAAGACCTGGAAGCTTTAAGCAAGACGCTGCCGAAGCAGTGACCCTCGTCTGTCACTCATGCCACATTTCTACAGTCAATCTAACTAACGCTCAATTTTGCAGTCACAAACAGATTTCTACAGTGTTAAACAGCTGCCAGCTTTTCCAGATCAGATCGCCGGCTTACAATCAGGTCAGCACAGACGTGATTACGCTCTTACTACATTTATTGACGGGATATGCAGAACCTTACAGAGTTGTCTTTGGAAGGGGTTATGGTTTGGCACTGGCTTTGACAAGGTCTCATGCAATAATTTGGCCATATTCTGAGGATACTCAGCCACAGAATACGGAGGTTCTTACTCTACCCCTCCCAGAATTATGCAGGGGCTCCAATGATGCAGCACCTCTTGGACATCTTCTGTCAACAGCAACAGGCGGCTTGCCGGGACTAGTCGTTGTCACACCAAGCAGTGGCCATATATTGTACTGGGAAACCATAACGAGCGCCACATCACTCGGATATACCAGGCAGAAACTGTGTGGCCTGCAGGGAAACATCAATGGCCTCCTCTCTGGTGAATACGCTACTGATGTTATCAATTGTGAGCCATCTGGAGTCATCGTGATATTCTCCACCGGTAGAGTAGCTCACGTTACCGTGAGGGACCCCCAAGGGAAGCCGGCCGTAACGGCTAGTTTTCTCAAAAACCCCTCTGGTGGTGGTAAAATAGGCTTCCTTGGGGGGCTAAGAAATGCTCTTGGTGGAGGGTACTGGAGGAAAGACATTGCAGCAGTCCAAGCAGGTCAATCGCATCAGCGAGGACAGAGAGAAGTCATCATAGCCACTACCACGGGTTCCTTTGAAATCTGGGACACTCATTGGAATAACGGAAGCTTGCTTAAGAAGCAGTTCGATGTTAGGAATATAATTTCGGATGCGCTGAGCGAAAACTCATTTCAGCATGAAGAGGGTAACATCGAAATTTTCGATTTCGTGTTTGCCGGCGCCGATATCAACACCCATCATGGTTCGAGTAGCGAGTCCAACACGTGGGATGTCTTGGTTGTCGTGGCCACGACTGCAGCAAGCTCACAAGACCTATACGTTCTCAACCTGAGGCTCTCCGAAGAAGCTCAGATACTGTCTAGTATTGCGATAAAGCATCGTGGTTCTTTGCCACATCTCGAAGCGACTCAGATCAAGCTTTTTGTTCCTAGCTCAGGTACTATGGGCTTTCTCGTGGTCGGACAGTCAATCATTTTGCTGTCACTTTCAAATGGAAAGGAACACCTGGATGGGACTACACCGGACAGCAATCGAGGAGCAGGAGCATTCCACGATATCATCAATCTGCGATCTGGGCAAAAGTACGATATCCTGGGTAGCGGATGTGAGGATCGGACTCCTGAAAGGACAGAGCCTGCATGTTTGATTATGGTTCGGGGCTTTGGTATCCTTCGAATCAATGCCTTGGCTAGCAATCAAGAGGCGACAAGCGCTGCGAATACTTACATCACTGCAAAGCATAGGATTGAGCAAGCGATCTTTTATGGAACCATCATGGAAAATCCATTGGACCTGACAAACAAGGAGGGCTTAGGGTTCACCCTAGGGGAGGTTGAAGAGGCTGCCCTAGAGGTGACCAATGAAATACTGAATTCAACTTCGAGATACATACCGACGACTTCTATTACTGTGGATCAGAATCTAAGGTTGCGGGCAAAGGCTCTTGATGATCTTTCATCTTTGTTGATGCAACAGCACAAGGCTTTGAGTCGCTTGGTCTGGTGGGAAATGCTCTGGGGCGCGGAGAAAATCGCAGCTCAAAGAGCTGTCTGGAAGCTTGAAGAGTGTTGGCGAAAGCATAACGGTAAAGGTCAAACGCTGCTGGCTGACATACTAGAATCAATGAGTGAAAGATTCAAGACGCAACGAAACAGTGATAGTGACCCGGTCCGTCATTGGTTCCTCCACGATACCTTTCAAATGGAAAATATGGTGCCCTGGATCTACCACTCGGTCAAACCACAAAAAGGCAGTAACCTGAAGCAGAGTTGGAGGGCGGCCGAAAAGCTCTTAGGCGCCAGCGAGCTGTCACTAGCCGTTCTAGAAACAGCGTATCACTATAGAGACGAGCATGCTAGTCGCTACGGAATCATCGATGGCTATGTGGAGGATGGGGTATTGACAGGTAATTACAAGGGCCTCCGGGAGTTCTGGACATCCCGAAGCATTGGATATGTCGAGAGCGTACGCCTGTTGGATCTCGAGCTCGACACCTGCAGAGTCTGGCTCCAGCAGAGAGCAGGCTCGGCCGATATACCGGGAAATGACGTCTTGACGAGAATAGCGACAAATGGTGCCAGACAGTTCCATATCCTCGGTCAAATACACCGGGAGCGGGTTCGTTGGCTTGCTGCCCAAGAAGACCCGAAGTTGATTGATGAAGGGATCGCCGTCGAACACACACACGTCAAGCAGCGGAAATGGCAGCTTTTCAAACTCGCCGGAATCGGTCACTTGGAGGAAGCAATCAAACTAGCAGAAGATTTCCGGGATATGGGAGCACTAGTGGAGTTGATAATTGAGCTTCAAGACCAGACTAGGGGTCAGAATCTCCCGCCTCATTCTCCGAGCAACCCGACCAGGGGCTTAGCGAATGCTTCGGATCAACTGAGCAAGAAGATATCAGGTTATTTCGAGAGATTTGGACACTCATGGGCTGAGGCATTCTTTTCGCGACAAATATCTCTGGGACAGGCAGGAGTCCTCTTCGCGATGAAAAGGTTCCAGCCTTATGTCACCCAATTCCTACGCAGTCACTCAACATACTCTCGGCTCTCTTGGATCAATGATGTGATTGGTGAGAATGACTACGACAGGGTTGCTTGTTCCCTAGAAAAGCTGGCCCTTGAACAGGAATCAGACTTATGGGGTCACCGAGTGGAGTTATCTATGGCTAAACTCGTCACATTGGCAGCCTGGGAGCAGTCATCCCAGCCCAAAGGTTTGGTGGACCAAAGAGATGTCAAGCGTCTAGAGGACCTTGCAGAAATAGATGCTGTGCAGGAGCTTATATCCGCCTCCGTTACACCGACCTTAGAATGCGCGATTGACGAAAAAGCCAAAGTTGAAATAGCTGTTTCAAGCATTGGGCGGGGCGTCTTGCAAAACACGCCGTCGCTTTTTGAGGTCATGAAAGAGGCAGTTACTAAAGTGGTGTTTCGTCAAGTGATGAATGTTGATGAGTTGGTGGATTTCTTGACTTTGGCAAGAATTCCTGAGACTCCGAGCAACGACCAGGAAGAAATCGTGGGGAAGGAGGACTATCTGGCTTTGCGTGTCTTACGTTTGAGTCATTATGCCCAACGAGATCCGCAGTTGTATGCCATCTTGCAAAAGTTGGTATGGAAGAGATGCATGATCAGTGATGACTGGATTGCAACTGGGAAAGCTGCCGAAGAATCAGGAAGTGAATTTGAACATGTTCTGCATGGTACCTCGCTTGCTCGAACTCTCGCCTGGTGTCACAACGATAGTAGGTATACTCCAGGAGGCATGTGTTTATGCGTTAGCTTACTCGCTGACTATGCTATTTAGGACTGAGTGCGGACCTTTCCCAACCCACACTTTACATCCCTCGGGCTCCGGAAGATGTCATTCTAAGCGACTCGGAGTTAGACCGTCTCACTGCTCGGTTGAGCCCAGAACGCCGAGCGCACAATCGTCGGGACCTTGAGAGAGAAAACCTATTGGTGTCGCGTTATATCGAGAGTGGGAAGCTTGATTTCTGGTTTAAGACCCTTGTCGAGTTTGTGCAAACATCGCAGAAAAGCTCTGCTGCGGGAGAGATACAGAGTCTGGAATCTGATGGTCAGTCAAACAGACCACCTGGAATATTAAACACCAAGGCACAGCTTAACTGGCTTTGAGCTTATATTAGGTAGTGTTGATTGATCAATAATAGCGTCAGCATTTACTTTTATTGGCACATTTAAATATCACAAAATAATAACTTACATGAGAAAAAATTATTATACTTATATAGAAAAGATAATTTAGAGAAGATTAAATATAAATTCAATTTTAACTATATAATTAACTAGTCTA